CAAACCAACATAAAACTCACACACCCTTATTACAACTCATCTCCTCAAGAACCTCAAATTTACATCCACAAATCCAAGCTTAAAGTTGGCTAGAAATTAATGGAGAAGAGTTTGAGAGCTTACCCTTGAAGAACTATCTCTCTCCCTTGAAAACCTTGAACTCTTCTAAGATTTGTTATTGGCTTGGAACTAGAAAGTATAAGGAAATTTAAGAGGAATATTTCTACATTTCAAACTTTACTAAAACATAAAAAAAGGATTTAGAGTTATACCCTTTGAAAAAAATGCTTGTCTAGACTCCTCCTAGACCCTTTGATCTCCTTCTTCTTCTTCTATGGTTTGTAGTGGCTCAAGATTGAGAGAGTAGGAGAAAATATTTGAGGGGAAAATGGAGGAGTGTGGCCGGTTTGGGTGTGGGGGAAAATGAGAGGAGATGTGCAAAATGGCTAACCTAATGCTTGCACTAATGGTCTCACCTTTATAGACATTACTTGATCTCATCTTAGTTCTCATTTAAGTCTACCAAACTAGCTTAATTAGCTAGATTTTTGGATTAATCCCCCCCTTTATTGTGGCTGGCCGGTGGAGTGTTTCAAGAGGGGGTGATGTAGCATTTCATGTCCAATAGTTGATTTGACTCAATCCCATCATGAAGTCCATGTAGCACACTTCACTAGCCAAATTTTTGGCCATAATCCCTTAAGTTTGGCCGGCCAAGTGAAGGAAGGAAAGAGAAAAATGAAACCTAACCCTTGTACCTTTGTCTACTTTCTAAATTTACTCATTAAACTGTCCAAAATTATACTGACAGTTATTTTCTCCTGTATGCGGGTACTGGATGCTAGTTTGTATTGTGCTTGGAAATTCTTAAAATTAATGTTCTCAAGCTGTATCTGTACTAGAAATTCTTCCGTTTTAAAGTACGGTGAGAATTTATCGATCGAATTTACTTGATCAAAAAATTGTGAACTTAACGTGAAATCTGCTACAGAATTTAGGAATGCAGATGTTAATTCCTTAAATCCTTCAATCACAAAATGTACATAGTATAATGATTTTTCAAAAAAATCCTTGACTTGAATACATGAATTATATTATTAAAATTATGGGATTTTTCTTGGTCACTACAATATTAGAGGGTAGTTTTTCTTTTTCTGATTGCTCTTTCTTTTTTTCCAGGCCGGCCCTAAGTTCAAAAGGTTTAGGGTTGGCCTGAAATTTTGTAATGTATCTTTTAGAAAAAGAAAAAAAAAACTAAAACAGAGCATTTAACCCGACTTCAATAAATATTTAAATTCAAAATTTTGGTCCGGTTCGGCCCAATTTAAAAGTTAAAACCGTCATAAATTTAGATTAACAGTAGTAAGTCACGAGCTTGTCCTGTTAATCTATCCCAAATTTACCGCTCCAGTTGTGTTATGTATCACTCAAAATTTCATAAGATGTTATTTCTAAGGTTCTGCACTATTTTACATCCTCTTTTTTTTTTTTTTTTGTGAATTTTTAAAGTGTTTTAACTCTAACCCCAGTTCCACCTCGACCCATCAGTCCAACCAGGGACAGTGCCAGCTACCCTCCCAGCAATTATTTACCCCTTTCTTTTCTAACTTTGACCCCGAAAAGATTTTCTAATTAATTACCCTATTTAAAATGTTTAGAAATTTTTATTTACAGCCGAATTTTTACTTTTAATCTTTCTCAATGGTTTTTTTTTTTATTGGTCCGTATTCGTTACTTCAATTTTAAAATCCCAACAAATAAACGAAACTTAACATGCAATACTACCCGACAGCAAATGTTTGGTTTGTAGTATTCTTTTGCCCTTTTTTCTGTAATTTGATTTGATGACGAATAGCTAGCTGATGATGCTCGTTTCCTTCGTGCAAAAGAAATATGTGATAATAAGATTGTCTTAGCAACACGACGACGTTATAAGGTTACGTGTGGAAGCATCGCTGGAAACAGCCTAGCAACACGACAAATATTAATCCATTTCATTCTATATTAAATTACGTCATAAACAAACACATTTTATCATTTCATATTATTATCGGAGGTTAACCAACTTCTCTGAAAGAAAGTCTTCCCTCCATATCATCTTCCTCCAAATCCATTCCTCTTCTGTCTCTGAATCCAACAATGAGTTACCCTCCTCCAGGTAAATCCAAATTCAGTTCCAATTTCCCAGCTTCATTTTCCATTATCATTTTTCTTATTTTTTGATCCAATCTTTGTATATGTATATGCATATTATGTGTATATGTATATGTATATGTATGTTTGTGCGTTATAAGGTTACGGATCGCCACCATATCAACACCAGCATCATCCACCACCGCCGGGATACCCATCAGCGCCGCCGCGTCCGCCGTACGAAGGAGGGTATCAAGGGTATTTCCACCCACCTCCACCGCCTCCCCAACCGAATTACGACCACTGTCATTACGATCATCACCATCACCATGACCACCACGACGGTTGCTTTTCCTTTCTGCGAGGCTGGTACGCTCCTTAAAAAAAAATTTATATATATATATATATATCATCCCTTCTTCTCATTTCCCAAGTCTAAAAGATATCAAGAATAAGAAATTTTTCTTTTTTATTTATTGTGTATGGGACGAGTCTTTGGAAGAATTAAAGTTGAGTCTTTTCAGAGGATTCTGAATTTCACTTACCAAAAGTTTTGGTAGGAGGGAAAGAAATACATACGACTTAGGTGAGGAAAATGGATTCTTTAATCTAATCTAATCTAATCTAATCCTTTCATGTCGGGAGTGATTGAAATTGGGGCTCCATTCTTCTGTTAGCTGTCTCAAGTCAACTCTTCGAATCGAATTCTAGTTGGTACAAGAAAATTCTCCTATTGAGTTGTGATTTCGTTCCAGTGGACTATATTAATAAACATTGCATAGTTGCGCCTTACAAGGAGGGATCTTATTATATATTTGTTCTCTTACTTTTTGTCTTTTCAAGTTGTTTGCTTTAATCCTTTCTAGATATCTTTTGCTCCTGATAGTATACACTCGTTCTCATACTTTAAAGTAGTCAGTTAATGCTTTAATCTTCTCTAAATACTATTTGGTTCTTTTTTCACCTTTTTGTGTATTGACAACACTGAATCTGCAGTTTCGCAGCGCTTTGTTGTTGTTGCCTGTTGGAGGAACTCTGCTGCTGCTGCCGCTGCTGCCTGTGATTATCGAGTCTTTATTAGGCAGCAACCGCGTTTTCTTAACTCTTTGCTCTTCTTCTGGAGAAAGAAGTGCATCCTATGCTATTTTATATACCACCTCGCGTATTTTACACCTTAATGTGGGGCGGTTTATTGGGAATTCTCTGTACTATGTTCATTTTTCTCAATTTGCCTAAAAAGGATTCAATGTAAGGGATACATATTTTGACATTTCTGGTGTGGATATGTTTATTACTGGACGTTAGTCAAGTCATACCGATTAGCTTGTATAATGTGACCAATAACGTCAATCATTCTTAAGCAGTCAAATACCAAAGTTCCACAAGTAATGTGACTTAAAATCATACCATGAAAAAACTTCCACTTTGGTCTCGTGATGTTATTGGCATGTGATATTGGTAACTAAAAATGAAGCTCTTGTTGGTGTCAAACATTATTTATTACTCTCCCATGGCTGCTTCACATTTTTCAATCTATTTAGAAAAACATGGATTACAATAGTCAGTCTTTCGTAAACAAACACCTAAACATACCAGTAAACCCCCCAAAGGTACCACAAAGTGCGACTGAAGAGCTGAACTCCTCCACATCATTCTTGAACCTCAATCCAAACATGGTTAGATAAAGATACGTCTTTTCTACTTTTCGCTAACTTTTAACTTATTAGACGATCTCCGATACAAATGTTAATATCAATCTCCAATACAAATGTTAATATCAATTGTATATTTAACAACAAAAAATATTATATGGTATGTTAGTTGAGCTCATGTTTTGCTTTGAAACTATATTTTGAATCTTCTCTCTTTTCAAATGTGTGTACTCTATTAAGTCCATTGACGTTTTATGTTCTGATCCATACGTCCTTGCATGTAGATTACAATCAATACATTTTACTCTCTTTTTCCCTTCTTTTGCACGTCTATTCCATATTTCATCCTCTCTTTCGTTTTCGTTTTAGTATTCCATCTTTTCATTCCAATCGAATGGTCATAGATTGGATATTCCATCTTTCCTACTTTGATGGACTAACATTATTACTTTTCCAAGCTAAAAAGATGACTAAGATAAAATCCGGTCGTTTCATTGCGATCCAGGTCCAATATTTTATCAAGCCACCTAGCAAGGAAAAGAAAAGGCACATTTGGAAATATTAAACTTCTATTTATAAGAACATGGATTACTAGGAAATAGATCAATCCCTCCCGAGTAAACAACAAACACACAACTAAACCCCCGGTCTAAAATTTAATTTATCTGTTCACTAAACAAAGTACAGCTTGAACTAGTAAAAATAAAATTAAATTAAAATTGAAAAAAAAAAAGAAAGGTAAAATTGGAAGCCTAAAGACCAAAATGAACCTAAAGAGTCCACACAAACTCCGGTGCGTCAGTCCTGGGCCCTACCGTCGTTCGATAAAGATACATCTTCTCTACCTTCTGCTCATCATCATCAAGGCAAAACTCAGTCTGATCGTGTTCGTTTATGATCTCAACGTTAAGACTCGGCATCTTCCTCGCCACTGTCTTGCATGCACCTAGGGTAACTTCGCAGGACGACATCCAAAGGGATCGCATTGTTTCATACTTTCCCACGTCCGTCAAGAGAGCAACATCACCAAAGGGGCAGTCCCTGATCTCAAGCTTGCGAAGTTTCTTACACCCTCTCAACACATAAAGCATCCCTTTGTCACTGTCCCCAGCAAAAGCCACAGAGAGCATTTCAAGCTGCTCAGCATACATTCCAATGTAGAGGAAGACTTGGTCAGTTAGAAGGCCAGTGAGCGACAACCGCCTAAGACTTTTGCATGCCTGAACAATTGCCCCGAAACCTTCATCCAACGGCTGTGAGGTCACAGGGTCCGGTTTCGTAGGGTCCAGGATGCATAACCTGAAGCGAATAAAATTAGGGCAATTCTTGGCCACAGTTATGAGGGCCGCGTTGGTCATCTGCTGGCAGAAATATAGCAGGGAATGGAGCTTAGGGCAACCCACGGATATCGCAACAAGTCCTTCTTCAGTAACAGCAGCATGACCTAATCCGTATGGATCAGATGGGAAAACCCTCAATTCTTGCAACTCTTTACAAGTGGAAGCTACAACTGATAGTCCTTTGTCTCCAATACAATCTAGTATCTGCCAAAATCATGAAAACAGCACTTAATCACTCTGTCATTAAGGGGGAGAAAATGTTCTAAACATTTAATGAAATGCTTGAACAAACATACCCTTAATCATTCAATACAATCTTAAATCTTCCCTAATGGAAACAGCCCTTCCTCATTCTATCATTAAGAAAATCGACTAAGACATTTAATGAAATGCTTTGAAGAACATACCCACAATCGCTGAAGTTTCACGCAGTGACGAATTAACTTAATGAGCTCAAAACCGTATATGCCTGGTGCATAACTCAGATTCAAAGATGTTAAGTTCGAGCAAACAGGATAAAAAGCAGGCAGGCACCAAGGTACAACCTCCAAAAACCCTGACAAGCTCCGAATTGATTGGCATTTTAGAAGGGTGGATTTTAGTTTGTTGTAGGCATCAGAACGGGAATCTGTGACATAAGACCCAGTACCAAGGTCCACTAGTTGGGGAGCTTTCATCAGTATTTTCTGGAGTGCGTCAAGAGGGACAGCACGGTTTACTCTCAAGACTCTGAGATCGGGAGACCTTGCAACGAGCCTCTCAAGCGCTGCTAAGTTAATTTCTCCTTTGAGGCATGCGAAATTGAGGGATACGAGTGACGTGCAGTTGTCGGCAAAGCAGCTAAGCCACTGGCCTCTGTTATCCTCAATCTCATTCTCTTGAAGATCCAGCTCCCTGAGATGCCTACAGTACAAAGCAGAAGAAAATGTCAGCTAAATAACTTTGACTAGACTACTAGATCTACCACACTACGGCATCAACGGCTCACCGATACAACCAAGAAATTATCAAGTCCATGTAGAACAGAACAACTCATCCACTCTAAATTTAGCAAGTTCACTAAACCATCCTAGGTGCACTGATCAGCATCAGATCTTTTCAAAAGCGACAAGCCCCAACAGGATATACATATTATGACACAAAGAGCTCCAGAAAGAAAACAATTAATGCATTGATGAAAAAGTACAAAACAAGAAATTGCTAAATGCAAACAATTTTTTTTTTTTTTAAAAAAAATGAAAAAGTACAAAACAAGAAATTGCTAAATGCAAACAATTTTTTTTTTAAAAAAAAAAAAGAAGAAGAAGAAGCAAGAACAGCCAATTTAAATCAAAATTCGATTCACAACATCAAACACAACTTCCCCATTCAACACTTCATAATCACTACTTCCAGTGGATACCTACAAAACCCAATTAGTGGAAAAAGTCAACAATTAATACATTGACAACTATGAGCATAACTTCGAAAGGCATGAAATTTCACATTCGTTGTAGCGGTCCATACAAAAACAAAGACGGAACGATCAATGCATTGGTGAAGACAAGGCTCAAAACAGGAAATAACTAAATAATAGAGAAAAAATCACAAAACAACAAGAACAGCCAATTTAAATCAAAATTCAAACAGACCCCAAAAGTCAAAAATAGGAACTTCAAAGCATCAAACAGTCCAACCAAAACAAAACCCAAATAGTAAAAACTCAAATAAAGAAAATCTTCAATTCAATTCACCTGCAATTGGCAGCTATAGCAGCGAGTCCATCAGTAGTAAACCCCTCACAACTAACAAGAACCAACGACTTGAAATTAGCGAATGAGCGAGAGAGAAGCTCAAGGCTCTCATCGGACACGACCATCCTCTTAAGCCTGAGCTCCTCCAACGCAACACGGCTTCTGGCGAGGGCTTCAATCCATGGAAAAACAAAGCCTCCCCACTCATGAGGCACCAAATTGAAGTCGGCGAAATGAGGCTTTCCTTTCAGAGTCAACGACCTCAGCCCCGGAAACCTCTCCACCGTCCTCTCCGGGCTGATCGCGTAGCAGTTCCCGATGAACACCCTCAGCCTGCTCAGCCTCTCGATTCTGTACCACGATTTGCACACCAACGACAACGCGTTTCGATCTTTATGAGTCGTCACGTAGTCGAATACGTGCTCTATCACCTCGTCTGGGAAGTAATTCATCTTTCTCCTCACTTTCTTTTTATCCAAACAAACAAACAAACAAAAAATCGAATTTTTGTAGGAAACTCAAAGCAAATTTTATAGTTTTGATCTGGTAAGTAAATAAATCCTGGATCTTTGGAAGAGAATAGCGGAATTTCCGAAGATAAGATTAGATCTTAGGGCGGAAAAAAAAGGAAAAAAAAAAAAAAGACTTTACTACTAGAGCTATAAAATCTGCCAAATCTCTTTCATTACTTCTCAGATCCGCAATGAGAGGGAGGGAAAAAAAGGGAAGTAGGAAAATTTTGAAATTTTTTCAGGAGGTAAGAAAGGGAAAATCTTGAATCGAATAGTGATGATTACAGAAATGAAACCCAAAAAAAAAAAAAAAGAAAAAAAAGAAAGAAAAAGATCAAAACCCCGTAGATCTCTCCGAATCTAAAATAAAAATTTCCAGAAATATAAATGCAAAATACTTATGAGTTTATGATTCTAAACTAGAGAGAGAAAGAGAGAGAAATAAACACACAGATACACTCCTCTCTCTCTCTCTCTCTCTCTCTCTCTCTACTCTTCTTCAATCTTCAACTCTCTCTCTCTCTCTCTAAAACACAGGCTGGTGTTAAAGCTTAACTCAGAGTCAGAGAAGCCACAGAGAGTCTGAGCGAAAACCCAACCATGGTTAGTTTCACAACCTAGGGTTGGATGATCCCACGGTTGAGAATTTGTTTAGTGGGAAATTGAGGGAATCTGGACCGTAGATCGGGGGATCATGCATGTGTCCTTGTCACTCTCTCTCTCTCTTTCGCTGCTAATGTCATTACTAAAGAGATCGATGATAGATAGATGGACTGTTCTGAAAATGACATTCTATTCGTTCAGATTTACGAAAATGCCACGTCATAGATAAGATTGTCTATCTCTATCACGCTTGCGAGTGTGTGTACTCGCGACGTCTGACGAGGACACTGCCATGTGCGAGGCATCGTACTGCCCTAGACCGACACTTCCACGACCATCCAAGCGAGTACACAAGGTTTGTACTCGCGAAAGTTACTATATTTTTCTATTATAATAATTAGAACTCGTCTGATATATCACATTACTAGGAAAAAAAAAAGAGAGAACTTTTTTTGTTGATATGAAATTTTTTTTTTCTTTCTTTTAATTAGGAGGTAGCGTAGAAAAAATTAAGGGAAAAAAGGATTACGTGACACTGTAAAATTATGTTAAAATCACATTAATTAATATATAAATTAGATGAAAATTTAAATTTATATGCATTTATAATGTCAGTAATGTTATAAGACATTGATGGTGTTAAACACAGTTATTTAATAAAAAATGAGTTCCGTAACATAAGATCTATAGATAGAGTATACAATCTATTAAATGGTGATGCTTAATACCAATAGTATCCTTTTATATTTTTCATGACAATTTAAACCCTAAAAAGTGCCCTTATTATATACGATAGAATATTTTTTGTATCATATCTTATTACAGATGCTGCATAAAAAAATTACAGACTTTTCCCTATTTAAATTTCAATTTGACAGATTTTCTCCAAATAAAATGGCAAATTGTTAGATTGAGGTTAAATTTTAAATGTTTTAAAACTTAGTCTTAAAGATCAAAGTAAAATTGGAATAAATTTTGGCAACCATGAGATTAACCTTAAAAAAGGATGTACTTATATTACGTAATTTCGAACTGTCAACTTTCATCAAATTGATCAAATCTATATATTTCTTACTCTACCAAGATTTTTATACGAAATGACAACCGAAAACAATATTATATAGAGTTAACTAAATGATTATGGGATTTCTTTAATGATGTGAGAGATTCAGCAAAAGGAGAGAAAAATTGCTGGGGAAAATGATATTTGACAAAATCTAAGACCTTTTAAATGCATCGAAATATCTCAAAAGTGCTGCGTAGGGTGATACAGAATCACAGGAGGTGGAAGATGATGACGATGAGGATGATCATGATCACGATCATGATTGATGATTGATTATTCTGTGTGTGATGGTGCACCATACGCACCCAATTGGCTTCAACCCTTGTTTACTGATTACTTTTAATTAGATTGGAGAATATTGTTAAATACCCCATTAATGAGAGCAGAGTGTGGAGCCAACTCTTATTTCTTGCCATGCGGAGCTTGGGTCCAAATACTATTCAAATGGGATGTTTGGTATGATGATTTGTGTCATGATTCAAATTATGATTCGTGACTCGTTATAGTATTTTATCTCATAAAAAACACATGTAAATTAAAAATAGTTCCGAATCATGATTCTAAATCCGTGAACTAAACATTCACTAAGTTCTTATTTTGAGAAGTTTTTACGAATTTATAGACGCACTACTTAACGAATCGGTTCATACTTTTTTTCAAGCCCAAACTAGACCACCGCCAAAACATACCTGATACCCCTTGAGGACACATCTATGAGGATTGAGACCTGAATTTGGAACATCCTACTCTAATACCGACTAATGTAATTGAATTGAGAAAATCAAGCCTAATCCATGACTAAGGAGAAAATCCTAAAACGAGATAGAAACAAAAACAAAAAAACTTAATTTTAATATGATAATCTTCAAATGTGTTCGTGTAAGTTAAAGGTATTTTATTTATAATCCATTTACAAAACGATAATAAAGTTAAATTAAACTACAATAATGCTAATATAAAACTTTCATAACTATCTTAATTAGCATAATTCATTTTCAGATCTATGTTATGTCCAGGAATAGTCTTTTGCCAAGGCGGTGATTGTGTAATATGTTGAGTAACAAAACATCTACTTAAATTGGGGAATCCTAGGATGCCACTAAAGTTCTGAAATTTTGGATTTTCAGGCTCTTTATACCTCATTACTTGTTAAGTGGTGGATTTTCAGGCTCTCATACGAAAACGTTGCAAGTGCTTTTGTTATTGTGATTGCTATTTGCTAAATATGGTGGGTCATTAAAGAAAAATGCCTCAGCCGCAGCAGTGATTTGCAAAAGGGAGAAGACAATATGTTTGTCAAAAAGCCAATTATTAGGAGAGTGATTCTAAATGGATTTTTACTGCTATGATGGGCAACTAAATCTCCATATAGTCAAATATCATTATTGATAATTTATGAAAGCACTTGGCATTACATTTTTTTTTTCTTCATTGATTCCTACAAGTAACAAATAAGTTTTATTTTATTTTTTTTCCTTAAAACTCCATTGCTAATTTGCTATTTTCAACTGTCTATCTTTCCTTTTGAAGTCAAAAACACCAGCTTGTTTATCCACTTATCTCTTTTAATAACACACTCTCAAACTTACTCAAGGATCATTGGTCTATATTTTGCTCCTACCAGTCAAAGATTTAAAGATTGATTTTAAAAAATAATAATAATAAATTAATCTTTGCTTATAATATTACAATGTATTACGTATATCCTTTCTATCCATTTACATTAAAGAGAAAAGGTAAAATTTTTGTGATATGAAAAACAATCATATCAATAAAATACAGTTTTTAATGGTCAGTTTTTTTATCAAAGTATCATAGTCTTTTTAATCCGATAAAGTTTTGAAATGATTCAATGCCAGAAAACTACCTCCGATAAGATTCGTTGTATCAGCTTTCATGTCGTGAAGTTGATTGCAGCTATAATTAACCGTGGGATGCATGATAATTAGACTACTTAAAGCTATAATAAACAAGATTGGAACAACTTCATTATAAAACAATTTCAAATGGAAAATCCAAACAAATAAGCAAAAGAGAAAAATGTTTCATTCAGAATTAATATATCACAGTCATGAAGGAACATATATGATAATCTCGGTCATCTGGCATATCAGATCAGAATCAGATGGCCAGTGTGAAATGCCGAAAGAAACAACAAGAAACGCACTGATCACGTTGTAGAGTAGTACTACTTGGTAGAGTACTGAATATTGATCATTTTCTGTTTTGTACATATTCTTTTGTAAGGATGAGCTACACTACAAAGGGTGTTCCCACCTATATGCATAAATGTAAGAATTTCTCTTGGATTCACTGCCTCTCTGCTGACAAAATTTATTTATGGAAATTTAGAAAAAAAAAAAAAAAATGAAAGCATTAAAGACCAGACCAGTACGGGCTGGCCTTTTTTTTACTCATTCATACGCATGCATTGGCTATTTTCTTTTCTTTTCTTTTCTTTTTGGTCCTTTTTTCATGAGAAAAAATGTGGTGACAAGTAAAGAAACTGCAAATGAGACGGAGACCTTTGTAGCATATCGCTAAAGTGTCATCACCTGGTTTTACACCCAAAAAAAAAAAAAAAAAAAAAAAAGATCATTGCTCTCTCTTGATTAATGGCTCTTTACTGTTTCTGTTTGTGATACATTGGCAACTGAAGGAGTTGCATTATATATATTTATATCTATGTATCTAAAATATCTGTTTTACAATATTTACTGAATTTAATTAAAGTTCAATTATTAACACTAAAATACTTAACAATATCTATATACCTCACACTGTATATATACGATATGAGTTAGAGTGGAAGATAATTAACTCTTACAGTAACGCGAGAAAACTGAAACCTCCCTTTGGGAAAAATGAACTGGATGACAGATAATTCCCTAGAAAAGTCTTTTTTAAAAATAAAAAATAAAAAATCTTTTCCCTCATAATCAGTGATTAATATCTCATTCCATTGCAATTTGAAATATTCCCCCAACTCCATTTGGACAAGTGTAATTTTCACATGTAAGCGAGGACCATCAGTTGTTTCCTTTTTATCCCTTATTCTTTGTAGCTTACTGTTTGTTCTGTTGTTCTTTTGTGCATGAATTGTTTTCTCAAAATATCCGGCTGAATCAAACATTTATATTTAAAAAAAAAAAAACATTTATTCAAAGTATATATTTAGGGGCTTCAAACGCTCGTAGAATATGAATGGTGTATTTTTGTTGAAAGACGTTATTCATCACAATTAGTAATGCAATAATATATATATATATATATTTTACTACGTAACAGTAAAATCTTTTACACAGTATAGAATTTTTCTTTTATGTGAATAACGTGCAGTGTCAAAGTAAAATGCCACAAAGTTCCAAGTTCTTTACCAAATTGGAGCCTAACTTTGTTGAATTTTCTAAAGTAAAGCCGGTTCAACTATGAAAGAGTAAGCATCAAAGGCACGTGATGGTGGATTTATCCCATGCCCTTGGTCAATGCCTTAACATGGGGCTCACAACTCAACAGAGCTGTATTTTTAACATTAGCCATGCCATTAGCCGAGCAGATTTTCTTTTGGCTTGTTTATAACGACAAAAATACAAACAAAAAAGAAAAAAAAAATCATAGATCTATGAACTCCCATCCCATAACAAGGCTCAGACAATTTGAGCCTGACCATGATATATATATATATATATATATATAAACTAGACACAACAAAATATATATGGATATGAACTATAATATAAACTATGTGGATATGTAACATTATAGCTTAAAGAGGTTGATA